CTCACAGTGTCTTACATATGATGGAACTTTTATCTAAGGTGACCTAGTTGTTTATATAGCGGGATGTGATCACCGGAGAGATTTGAGGTTAAGTATCTGCTCAAGGTCACATGCAGCAGGATCTCTCCTGGGGTTTATTCCAGTAGCCTTTGCCATAGCTTTAACCAGTACACCACCTGCTGTTTAACTTTATAAATAACTTCTGAACAGAAGAGACTCCAATGAAGGGGTGCCATCCTATAGAGCAAATTGCTGGCAAGAGCCAAGCAACACTTTAAGATAGCAATTTTTCAGTAGGGTCTTTAAACATTTTGCGGCCTTACTTTGGGTAGACAAAATGGTGCTACTTTACAATAAGACTACCCATATAAAGAGTTTATGAATGGTTTATAATCTGATTATTAATTATGTTGTAACACTTTGTAAATTATTAAAAGAGAATTTTAAACAAGTTATAACAGTTTTCTTTTTATTGAGTTACTTATTTATTGAGTGGCAAAAGGGAGCCTTATTGTAAAGTGGTACCGAGAAAACTAATAAAATAAAGTTGCTTCATCCATCCATCCATCCATCCATCAATCAACTCGTCTTGTCAGGCTCATGGTGGGGTACCCTGGACAGGATGCCAGTGCATGACAGGGCACACACATGTCTATACTCACAGAGTCATACAATGCACACAACCTAGAGACAGTTAGTTTGACCACATGTCTTTGGAAGAACACAGAGTGCCCAAAGGGAACCCATGTGACACATGTAGAACATGCAGCGCATACACAAAGCATCTTCCTACAGCTAAATGCTAAATAGAAATAAAAATACTAAATTTGTTGCCCTCATAAATTAAGGGAGACCCCCCTCCCAGACTCCCCATGACACACAACCCCTCTCAGCTGGACCTCTCTTGGGACCCCCTGGGCCAGGGATGGGAACAATTTACCCATTTGAACCCCTGGGACAACAGACCTGATTCAAGTGTATGTTTCTCTTCATAAATAATGATAATGGACACACTGTGGAATAACAACAAATAAAGTGAATGCTGATTGGTGATGTCTGTTCTATTCTCATCTTTTAACTGGGTTAGTGAAAAGGTACTAATCACTTTGGTCGGTGGTCAGAACCTCAGCAACTCCCATAAGTAAGTTTGGGGTTTCCACTGCCGGAGGTCAGGTGCAGTTCAGTTTAATAATCTGGGAGCATTCCACTCTGTATAGACTAATAGCCTGCTGGATCACAAGACAACAAAAGCCTGCTCTGAGCTTTATTTCACAGTGCGACTTGTAGTGATGGTAGTATGAAGGGGCCGTGAAAGTGCCCCCCAGAGGCAGGATAGGAGGCATGTTTTGGGGTTCTGCTCTGTAATCTGGGGCTGCGCTGTGGTTCGTGAATCCCCTACAAGCAGCTCCTCTGATCCTGTGATGATTTCATGCACATAACATGCAGTGTCAATATTAACACTGCACATTGTGCAGGCTGGTGGTGCAGTGAGTGATGCTGTCCCTGCATAGGCCACTTTGTGCACATGCGGAGTTTGCCTGTTCACTCCATTAGTGGGGTGGTTTACAGCAGATCATCTGGTTTGCTCCCACAGTCTAAAAACATGCAAAGTAAGTGAATTGGACTGCAGGCCTAAAGTGACAGCATGCAGAGCATGCAGGCATCCTGTGATGGACCAGCACCCCCATCTAGGGTTACTTCCTGCTCTGTACCATTTGCTATATCCATTAATTTTCTATAACTGCTTAACTTATCCTGGGTCACAGGGGTCTGGATAGGGCTGCACGATTATCGATTTCAGATTAGCAAGTCGCAAAAATCGCGATTTAGGATATACAGTAAAACTGGTCTAAGTCGCCCGCTTGTAACTCGTCAATGGGCACAAGTCGACGCTCAAGCAAAAGTCCCGATTTTTCCTAATGATGTTTCCTTTAAAATTTCTTGTGTAAGTCGCCGCTTGTAAATCGTCAAATTCCCTTAGTCGTCACCTAAATCCCGGTCCCGAACAACACAAATGAATGGATTTTCCTACCTGTAAGTCGACACCCCAATCGCTGCATTCCCGCCGCCTACTTATCACCACGGCAATGTAGAAACCGAGTGCGGCGCGGGACAAGATTTGATGGGTGAATGCGGGTGCGGGCGGTAAGGTCCTCATGTATGTGTGGGTTGCGGGAGAATAGAATTAATCGCGGGACTCCCGCAAAATGTAATTATCTTAAAATTAATTTATTAAAAACAAATACTCATTTATCTACTGCACAAAAGCAACAAGAACGACTAAATTAAAATAATAACAATTTATAGGCGAATCGTCTACAGAAACTACAATTGCCGCGCTCTGAGTGCCGGGGGACGTAACCGGACACCCCAAGAAGTAATCAGCCTGGTGCTTGGACGGGATGGCATGTTCTGAAAAGCTCCTCGTTCGTGTCCATGTTCATCATTCCATTTAATTAAACTAAAATAAAACGAAACATATTTGTTTATTTTCCGTTTCTTTTTTATATATACTCAAAAGGGAAGCAAGTGAAACAAATAACAGAGTAGCGGGAAGAAGCGGTAAAAATAAAACTACTTATTTGTTTACCTGCGGTATTTTGCGGGCGGGAGGGGGACAAAACTTGAATACTGCGGGCGGGAGCGGGAAAAAATAATATATATTTTTTGCGGGAGCGGGACTGAAAAATCCGTCCGGCGCAGGTTTCTACCGTGATGAGTAGAGGTATATAGTGTTATATTTACTAGTCGGCAAAACGGCGAGATAGACATAAGTCGCTGAAGTGTCGACTTTATAAGTCGGCAAAATGGCGAGTTATATTTACTAGTCGACAAAACGACGAGATAGACATAAAAGTCGCCAAAGTGTCTCGTCAATTCTCTAAGTCGTCACTTTTAAGCTGGTCCCGCTAGTGTCGACTTAGACCGGTTTTACTGTACATTATACAGCACGTCGGACCCAGGGTTTAAAACTGCTGTGAGAATAGTTTTACAAATTCATGCCGTGCTCCCTGTGTGACAGTCATTCTCACCAATCACAAGAGCCGTGCTTCTCACGTGCCAGTCATGCTCACCAATCAGAAGTGGCCCAAGAAGGCGTATAGGCCCACAAACAGCAAACACGTGAAACCCAAGGAAAATGTTACATTCGCGGTGCGGAAAAATACTGATTACGCTACTGAGCTGTAAGTGAATTGCCTTCCTGTTTCGTGGTCCGAGATTGTTTCAGAAAAGTCCTATCATCAATAGAACCGGCGAGCTCATTTAAACACCAGCGGCAATATACTTCAGCGTATCATACCTTTGGTTTTTGTTAATAGGCAATAGCATTAGTATACCGCTAACCCATCAAAACAACGAGACAGTCAGTAATTCTCACAGCAGCGGAGTCGGTGACCTCCAAAAAAGCCGTAAAACCCACAATACAGTCGTGTTTGTGTCATATGTTTTTGTGCTTATTAAATTTAAGTGTTTCCAAAGATTAATCCCACAATCGCTTTAATCGCTATTACAGTTGGGTATGGGCACGCGGTCTTATTTAGAAAACATACAAAAAGAGACGCATATAATGTTTAATCATTCGTTTTGTATTTGTCGAGTAACAAAGCAAAGGAATGATAAGCTGCTTCAGTCGAAAACTGCATTTTACTTCTCATTTAAAATAAAATGCAGGGTTGTCAACTTTGGTCAGCTGCATGGAGTGAGATTTTCTGTTCTCTGTTCTGCACACACATTTGCATGTATGTAAGTTTTATTACCTTGTAAATAGCCTGTAGGGTTTGCAAACTGCCATTTTTGATGCAGCTAATTTTAAGTTCAGAATGGAATATAGATTTGCTGGAAGATTTCTTGCGTGAGATTCTGAAAGAGTTTGCAAACATGAACACGTACAATTTTTGTTTAACCTGAATTGATTTGTATAGAAAATAACCATATACAGTTGTTAAAAAGCGGAAACTTCGACCAACATGAAATCACCAATAACGACTTCTATTTATTCAACATTTTATAAAATGCATACTACGTTTAAAAATTTCCAGCTTTACGGTTTCAGGACAGAACAGCCACTAGCTGTTTTTTGAGTGTTATTACTGTTAAAAACAGCAGCTAACAACACAACAGCGCAAACAAAAAGGGCTGCATACACCGAAGTAGTTCTTGTTTGTTCACTGGCGTGGGAAAAGGCGGTTCTAGTGTTATTAGGAGGGTAATAAGCCTTACCTGCAAGATCGCTATTTTTCTTTTTGCTGCAATTGTTTTCATTATTACTTTATTTAACTTGACACATCATATCTTTAAATTTTCATCCTTGCATTAGAATGTAGACCGGTTAATACTGATGGTATCTCATGCTGCGTCATATGTTTTAAAATTACTACACACTGAATACTGAACTGAAGCTTGACATAAAAAAAATTAAATCGCAAATCAAATCGTAATCGAAATTTGTCAGAAAAATCGCGATTCGATATTTTCCCCAAATCGTGCAGCCCTAGGTCTGGAGCCTAGGGGTACAAGGCAGGGAACAACCTAGGATAGGGCACAAACACCATTCAGTCACACACGCACACCTATGGGCGCATTGGCAGCTCCAATTATTCTCTGTATGTTTTTGGACTGTGGGGGAAACCAAAGCACCTGGAGAAAACCCCACAGTGACATGAGGAGAAATTGTAAACACACACACCTGGAGCCATAGAAGAGACTCAAACCCTGGTTCCAGAAGTGTGGGGTCACAGTCCTAACCACTGCGCCACCATGCCACCTCACAATTGCTATGTATAATATATAAATATATTTTTTTATGTATATGTATTTAATAGGAACGATTATCTGATAAATCATCAAATTTGGTAGATTACTTCATTGCTAACATAATAGATAGTGACAGCTCTGCTGCTTTGTTAAGACTAACAGTGACTGTGATCACTGCATTCATGCATAGAGTAAAGGTTGTGGAACAGTGCTCCAACATTGTCTCCTTTGTCTCCCCCCCTCAGCTCCCGGCCAGGCCGCCCCCCGAAACGCTCCTTGGGGGTTTCCATGCAGGACACCCCTAGGCTTCTGCCCCACAGCATGAACGGCTTGCTGCCCCCAGGCCTTCTTCCCCCCACAGGTATGTACCTTTTGGTAGAGTCCAACTTGAAATCCCACAGGAGGCAAGAGGTTATTTACTGATAGTTATAAGGTGGTAGCACTTACAAGACCTAAAGAAATTTATGTATGGATTAATGCACAACAAGAACCGGCCAACACCATGCTGAGTGCATTTTAAATGCATGACTTGGAGTGCATTTACCCATTATACCATGGTTTGGCTTACACATTTGTACCTAAAGACATTATTTGTATGTTTACAAGCCAAAAGCATTTATTAGTAAAACTACTGTTAAACATCTTGCTTAGATATTATTCAAACTGCTGTTAATTCGGAATTGTCTGTTGCTAAGACGATAAGCCAGTTGTTTGATTGAAATTGACCATTGCTAAGTCAAAAGACCAGTCCTTAGGTAAAAGAGTGTAAAGCAAATGTGTAGTAACTGTGGTAAAAGTGAGTTAATGCAGTAAAAGCTGAGTAAATATAACTTTGCTAGTGCATTACATTGTTAAATCAATTTAGTATTTAATCACTGACCACAGGTCTTGGTCCTCAGCGTGAAGCATGATTGTTGTCTTATAGTTGTTTATAATTTCTGTTGTTTTTAAATAGCGTTCTACGTTTGAAATTTTAAGTGATGTCAGTTAGAATTAAAGATTATAATCATGAATTGATTTACTACTGTTATTTGCCTGGCTGACACTAAGTGTGTGGTCATAGGAAATTAATGAACACCCTTCAGAGTCAAGAATTCAGCAGTGTCGTGGTATAAGTGTACTTCAATAACACTGATATTCTCAGCACACTGTTGCTTAAAAAATCTTTGGGGATAAAAGAAAGCATGAAGAATGTCTCATCTGTTCACAGAGTGCCCTCTCAGTGTCATTCCCCTCCATATGCTGCTATGTGTATGTCTTACTGCCAGGTATTGTACCATAGGGGGGATTGCTGAATTTGAATATGAAATCAATGCCAAGCCATGCATACATGCGTTCCTTGAACACATACTTTTTTACTAAGCATCTCAGAGAGCTTGCTAGGGTCTGGAAAGTATCACAAACTATGTTTCATTTCAGGCAGACCAAAACAAACAGGAAATATATACAAAACTCTGCTTTCGGGACAGATTGAAGTGGCCTGTTCTTATCACATTTGCACCGTTTTCTATTCTATATCTGAAGCAGATTTTGACAGACTAACAACCATCAGAATTTCTCCTGTACGAGTTTTGTTTGCTTTGTAAAAGTGCTTTTCTGGGAGTGTAAATACAGAAACAGCACCTTCCATGTATTCACAGGGGACATATTATGCTCTTCTATCAATACCTCCACCCTTGAGCTGAAGCGTGTCACAGAGCAGGGAAGGCAGCCGGCACCTTGGTTTCCGTGGCTTGTGTTGCTGTATGGCTCTCGGTAGCAGACACATTATGCACGCTGTCACTCAGGGTGTCGCAGGGAAGTGAGCTTTAGCTTGCTCTGCAGTGATGGAGAGATGGGGGACACAGGTGAAAAGGGGACTCGGTGGGAGGTGACTTTGATTTGCGCCTATTGAGAACAGCCTGGGCTGGAGGGTGCCATGGGGGGTTTATCGGCGGCTGGTTGAAAGGAGCAAACACCGAAAACAGCCGTTTCACCCCCAATAAAGATTAACCAGCAGGACAAATATGAGACTTGGGGCTTTTGGTATCTTACTTTCTTTAGTAAAAGACAGGCTGGGTTGTACTCCTTGCCATCAAAAATCAATTACTGGTACATGGTCGGGCTTTTCCCCTGCCCTTCTCCCTCTTCTAGGCAATCTTCGCCCTCTGCCCATCTCAGGGTAATGATTTTTTATACATGATGTTTGTAATCCAGTGGTAACTTGTCCTGTAAAGGTCCATGTAAATATCTTTTACAGCAATGCATGAGAGGTGCATGATTTTCACTGTCTGCATGTCAATCAACATAAAAACATTTTCCTGGCTCTTCAAGAGGGTGTGATTTTTAATTTGCCACTACAGCTTATGTGGTGAACATTTCTAAAGATGGGTATGTGGGATGTGGTATTTAATACTGATAAAGCAAAAAGTCATGGCAAATACGGGGTTTAATGGGAACAGCAACAAAAGGAGCTGGCAAACACGAGATAACATTACAATGGGGAAACAAACTGAAACGCGGACTAAATACATTGCACTAATGACAGTAACCGGAAACAGCTGATAAACACGGGGAATCCACATGGGGTTAATGAGGGGGCGTGGCACACGAGAGGAGCGGATGATCGGGCCATGACAAACATGTTATAACATGTTATATGTTTTAACATGGGGGTCCCCAGAATACAGAATTGTGTCTTTTGTGTGGACTGTGCGGCAGGCTGTTAATATTCATTGGCTGGTATGTGGGTAGTCATATGACATAATCACAGCCAATATCAGCCCAGCAGCAGTGTGTAGTACTGGTGAATTGTTGGATAGCCAATAATTCAATGATATCACTGTTGTTTTTGCACCTATCTAAGTTATTTTGAATTGTTTTTTTTCAATTCTGATGAAGTACTAGGGTCAGAAATAAAATCAGTCATTTTTAATTGAGCAACCGTTTAACTACAAGTGCACATCCTCTAAAACTGTCTTGTTGAGCCAGAGCAGATAGTGTTGGTATCTGCAGCAGCTTTATTTTGTATTTTGTGCTTCTGTGAACAGTAGGGCCTTGAACTTGTAACCTTAACGCAACCAGGCCCTGTGCCTGGAGAGTGGGCTCCATTTCAAGATTCTGCTGGTTTGAGTGGTGAGGGCATGTCAGTGAAATATAGTGTAGCATAGTAGGAAGTGTGGATAAGTGGATTATTTCCTCTTTCCCAGTCACACCCTGCTGGCTCCACATGTTACTGTCGAGAGGGCTGTCTTACTGAGCTTCAGGGCCTACATGTACAGTATCATACTGTAAAAGGATCCTTTGGGTGAAGTCACTTTGTACTGAAATTACCTGATGTCTTTTTGGAGTGTTAGTTTCTGTTCATTTTCACACTTCAGTCACACTTCAGGGCTAATTTATTTGAAGCATTCAATCACCACCACTTTATTCTTCTGAGACATATTTTTGTGTAAAGTGAAGTGTGCTATCTTGTGATATTTAGGAAGACAGACTCCTGTTCAATCCTTGACACGTCTTAAATAATGGAAAGAAAGGATGTTTATGTTTTATCATGTTTGACAGTGTGGGTCGTAATTAGATATTTTTCTGCTTGCTCAGCTAGTTAGCAAGACACAGCATGCATAGAAATGTCTATCAGGTTAATAAAGTCCAGCTCGCAGTACACAATATATTGGAAAGATGCAGATGCTCCTTTCTGTACTTTTTCTACATCAAAGGAGGCAATTGCGCTAGTATAATCTGGATTTCAAATTTGTAAAATGGGGTGAGGACTGGGCGGAATGGTGGCGCAGTAGTTAGCACTGTTGCCTCACACCTCTGGGACCTGGGTTCGAGTCTCTGCCTGGGTTACATGTGTGTGGATTTTGCATGTTCTCCCTGTTTCGTCGTGGTGTTTTCTCCGGATATTCCGGTTTCCCCCCCACAGTCTAAAGACATGCTGAGGCTAATTGGAGTTGCTGAAATTGTGCATGTGGGTGTGTGAGTGTGTCCTATGATGGGCTTGCACCCCGTCCGGGGTTGTTCTTTGCCTCGTGCCCATTGCTTCCGGGATAGGATAAGCGGTTGGATGGATGGGTGAGAACCTTGTCCAAATTAATCAGCCAGTACAGAAATGAGCCTAGGACAAGGCCAGAGTTACACAGAGGTCACACAGAACGCTCCAGTGTGTGGGCCGCCCTCAACCCCACCCAACCCTGCTGCCTCATAGTGGGTCCTCACAACTATCAGGAACTTCATAAGCGCCTCTAGATCTCAATGACATCATAAGTGATATGAATACAGATACACAGACACATTTGTACTCATATGTTTATGGCGATTGTCCATTCATTTCGATGGAAAAAACCCTAATTAAATGACAACATTAACCCTTACCCAGCCCTAACCTTAACTGTAAGTAACCAAACTAAATATAAGACTTTTGACACTTTTCATTTTTTGATTGCAGATTTTTATAAAACTGAATTTCTCCTTGTGGGGACTGAAAAATGGACCCTGCAATATCAAAATAACAGGTTTTTATCACATTTTGGGGACGAGATTAGAAAGTAAATTAAGCAAAATAATTTTAAGTTAAAGTGATGATAAAGACAACCCAGGCTACTATGGACGCTAAATGTCACGTATCTATGGCTAGCCTCGTATTATGGGGTGAGTTCATCAAACCTGAATGTCTTTCTTTAAGATGTACAGACGCTCCCCAGGTTACAATGGTCCGTGTTACAATATTTCGACTTTATGATGGGTAAATGTTTTTCACTTTCAGCACATTATTCAATAAATTACATATTTATATTCAACATTTTATTATAAAATAGGCTTTGTGTTAATGATTTTGCCCAATTGTTTTTAAGGTTAAGGTTTAAGGCTAGGCTAGGCTATGATGTTTGTTAGGTTAGGTGTACTATATTAAAATGATTTTCACCCTAAGATATTTTCACCTTATGATAGATTTATTGGAACGTAATCCTGCATTTTCATTCACTTTTAACATTAAGTGCTTCCACACAGTTGAGGCTTTCACTTTTTATTAGGATCCTCTTCCTCTATACATCTATGTCTTCCTTCCACTATATAATAGAGATGGCAAATTTTAATTGGTGCTTTTTAAAAATTGAATAATCATGATAGCTCTAGCCTGGTTTCACAACGTTATGTTTACAGAGGTATTATGTACAGTGATGTTCAGTAGTAATTCCTTGAACATAGAGAATTCTAACCACACATCCATTTATTGATTTAAGGTGGATTTGTTTTTAAATGCCCTGCTGTCAGTCATTTCAATCAATAAGCCTGTTCCCATCTGAGCCTGTTCTCTCAGATCTCTGGCATCGTGTTACCATGCCAGACCAACGCTTACTAGGCAACTTTGTGACCCTG